CAATAAGGGACGCTAGACCCTTCTTCCAGCAGGTATATATTTGTTTGATGGCACGCTGGACCCGGTTTCCAGCTGGTGCAGCTCCCCCACTAACAGATGGATCCTTCTACAAAGGGTTCTGGTTGAAAGGGATGCTCCTACCACCCTTTCTTTTTTTTTTTTTTTTTTTCAAAGGCTAATTCTTTTAAGCCCAACCAATTCAATTACGTGTCAAATCTGGACAGGACGGCCTTTCAGGCCTCTTTTTATTGTCATTATAGTATTACGGGGAACCCCGTAGCAGCCACATCCGCGCTCAAGCCTCCAACGAGGGAACATGCGGGAGCTGCACCCGCCAGCAGTTGCGATACCTGCTACAGCAGGTGGGCGATACCGGCCAGGGGTCAGCCGGTAGCATCAGGACCGAGCTTCTTCGATGGGCCAGTCACTGTGCCTGCCCTCCGGTCCCCTCCCCCTATGAACATCAGCAGTCTCTGCTCAATGCCACTCGGGGGGACCAACGGCATGCTCCTACCACCCTTTCAAACAGACCTCCCTGGCCTGAAGTTTAAACCCAAAAAAAGAAAGAAAAAAAAAAAGGGTAAAAAAATTGGTGAGGCGTGAGGAACCGTAACGTTGTTTGAAAGCAAAAAAAAAAAGCAAAAAAAACGTGTTTGCCCCACAGGCGGCCACGGCAGAGCCCATTGCGCTTTCGTGATGGCCGGCGCTCAGCGGAACGAAGGGGTCTGGTGGACCGCAGGTGGCTCGTCCCGGTCATCTGCCTGACGCGGTCAAGAGGAGGGATACACAGGATTGTTGGCAGACGTGGCGAGGGGCGGGCAGAGGTTGGGAGGGGGGATCGAGAAGGCGGAGGGTGGGGAAAGGGTGTGGGAGGGCGGGATGAAGGAAGTTGGGGAGCGGGAAGGGAGGGAGGGAGGAGAGCAGATACGGTATAAAGGATGCTGTCAAGGGTGGGACAGCGTAGTCGGTGCGCAGGTTGCGATAGCGCACCACGGAGTGCCTTGCCCGGGGAGAGGGGTGCGTGAAGAAGAAGTGCACGACCTCAGGGTGCGTACTAGACAACAACGACCTCCGTTAAAGGACAAAGCAGTGGCGTCAATGTGGTGTTGAATGTCTAAGTGAGGGGAAGGGGCCAGTGAGGTGGTGGAGCGAGGCGAACCCGGAGAAGACGGGGTCTTCCCAACGACGGCAAAAGTGGTTGTGAACTAGGTAAAGTGCCAGTTTCTATGACCTTCCTACTGCGTTCCTCTCCTGACTTAATCGCTCCGGTCTCATGCTATCGCGCAGAGATCCATTGAGCCTTTCCTGTCCCGTTCTCTCTCTCTCTCTCTCTCTCTCTCTCTCTCTCTCTCTCTCTCTCTCTCTCTCTCTCTCTCTCTCTCTCTCTCTCTCTCTCTCTCTCTTAAGCCTTCCCTGTCATCCTCCTCTCCCGTTCTGTGTTAGCGTCACCAGGAGTCTCAGAATGATAGGTTTGGTCATATTCCTGGTATGACCCCGTCACGGTGGTGATATATGCCGGCCGTGTGTTCCTCTTGTGTGAAAATATACTACATAAGAAGTGAAAATATTACATAAGACGATAGAAGTTTTAAGTTCTTTATACTCATCAGTTTGGAAAGATATCTAGAAATTTCTAGTATAATATGTATTTGGGTGTGGTATGGGCTTGAGCCGTTTCTCGTTCCCACGTGCTCTCTCTCCATTTTCGGAGCAGCTGGGAACGGTACACGGCTCACCAGTCAGTCAGTCAACGGACGATTGTTTGTGAGTCAACCTTAGTCAACCTTAGTCTTCACCCGAAGGAATCGGCCCGTCATTATAGCCGTATGTGGTGCAAATTTAGTCTAGATGCAGTGATCATGTGGGGGCCGTCTATTCGGGTGATCTGTTGGCCGACGTACGCCGTCCACTTGCGAGAGCAGATAATCAACCGGGAGTGCCTAAGGTGAAAAAGCCGCGTCTCGTGAAATAGGGGCTCGCTCCTCACTGCTCTCCACATGCACAAAACTTAAGACGGAATATATGTTGTTTTATTTTTTCAATGTTCTAGCGGTAGATCTGGTCTCATTTTGCACATTTGGTGCCACTGGGTACTGTATTGAGGCCTGTAGTCAAGAGAGGCGACGAGTTTGTGTGTATGGGAAATGACAGTAGTGATTCAGCTGTCGTTGCAGCCCTCTACTTTGTTTTTTTTTGTTTTTTTTTTGTTGGCATGCGTCTTTTTAGTTCCCGGAGGTCACCACCCTTCGTAGTTTGTTCCCCTGTCCCTCTCTTCCTCCATAACCCTTTCCATCCTGGCCTCTCTCTTCATTGGTTCTAGTTAGTCCCTCTCCTCCCCCCATAACCCGTCCCAACCCGGTCTGTCTCTCCGTTCCGACGCAGTCGAGCAGACTTCCTCCTGGCTGTGCTTTTCCCCTTCCTCTTCTAGACTCCTCGCTGTTCTCTTTTCATCCGTCCTGGGACAACCTGCTAACCTCTCTTCGAAACATAAAGTGGTTATGTAGGCAAACAGACAAAAACCAAACATCAGGCAACAAGGGCCGAAGGGGAATGGAAATAAAACAATGAGCCGCACTCCTTTTCTTTGTGGGTGTGCACTCATCTGCGCAGCTTCATGACAGCCGAGGATTCGTGCATCGGACAGTTGAGTGCCCCCCGACCTATCACGAAAATCGACCATGGGCGCAGAATGCCAGACAGGCACACCCAGTGCTTAGCAGTGCGGGGGCACGGTTACCACCCAGTACCGGAGATCCCTGCTCACCTGCAGCAGCTGGTTGGGACGAGGCTGGGCAAGCAAGGAGTGTAAGCGAAACCTCGCGCTAGCTGTTGGGTCGTGTTCCTCCTGATTGGCCGTCGGCCCCGCGCCAGCACCCATCATCGCGAGCTTTGCCCTCACTCATCTGTTCAAATGAGTCCACGCCTGCCAACAGTCAGTCAGGCCCTTTGTCCCACTTGCACTTTTCTAAATGCATCTGACCACAATTACGGTCATAGTTGCACTAATCTGACCGCCGTCGCGGGCAGAATTCACAAGAGAAATCTTAATAATGGAGTATGAGAGCTACCTAGGGACGTATGGTCGAGTGTTGCAAATGACCGAATCCCTCTCACAGAACGAGATGAAATCACGTGGATTTATCATTTATGCGTGTCATCATTTTTCTTCTTCTTCTTCTTTTCTTCTTTTTTGTCGCGATCTACCGGTGGACCGCTATGTGTGCTGCGATACCGGCGGAAAGCACAAATTCTTTCTTGTTTTTTTCTTCAACACAACACAAATTCGACCTCCTTGACTCTGCTTTTTAAAGACGTACAAAGTATTGAAAGTTGGACGCTGGACTTTTTTATTTTATTTTTTGGACTGATATTCTTCTCTCAATCTATCTATGTACTCTTTATCTTTCTCGTCTATTTAATATCTCCGATGATGCATTTTGTTGTACGGGCTTACCCACAGTCACTAGCTCTACCTCAATGTACCTGACCACATTTACGGCCGGGCGTGGACGAATTGGTCCGTAAGGAAGAGAACGTCCTAGTGTGACTGTGTGAGTATGCTCTGAGGTCCTAAAATGCAGTGGTCCTTGGACGACCGCATTTGCGGCCGGATATGCCATTGGATGAATTGTGACCGGAATGACGTCTACAAACAAGCAAAGGAGTCCTAGTCTGAGTATGCCCTAAGAAGAATTTCTGCTTCTGATGTGCTGGTACAGGTACAGGTGCAACTGTCCAGGGAACGGCATTGCGTTGTGAGAGCAGCAGTCAGGTAGGGGATCAGGGATCAAGCAAGTCAACGTCGGCGGCCTGTCGTTCTCTGTGGGAACGCCGAGAGAGAGAGAGACCGGGATTCTAGCTTACAGGGCGCTCGCGATGGAATCAGCCGCACTCAGCTCTCGTTCCCACCTCCGTTCTTCATCGTCCGTGAAGATTGGTTGGGCGACTGGGGTGATGGTTGTTGAGCCGACCAATGGCATGGGGATCCACTCACGGACGCCGGATGTACCCAGCCCCGTGGTCCTCGTGGACCTGAAGACAAAGGTGGATTCGAAGGGCGCAGGGCGGGGCAGGGCTGACGGGTCGTCCGATTTCCTGTTGTCGTCATCCGATGGTCCGCAGGGTAGCAGTGAACCCATGCGAGTTGCGTCGAATGAGAGCGGTCGCAGGTCGAGGTCCCGTCGTTGCCAGCCTCCCCTTGTGGGGATCCCGACCAGGAGGGCTCACCTCGGGGAGGGAACCGTCGCGGGTGGTATAATTCGGCGGCTCTGTCTTCCCGTGGTTGCAACCCGTCAGGATGAGAACCATGACAAGGGCAAGGACGAGTCCCGGTGGAGTTCGACTTTGAAGCGACGGTTCGAGGAGCTGGATCCCAGTCGAACTGGTGCTATCGGGGAGGACGAGTTGAGGAGAGCCGCAGAGAAACTGAGGCTTCCAGTCTCTCACAAGGAGGTGCGGGTGTTCGTGGAGAAGGTTGGCGATAGGGTGACGTTCGACGAGTTTGTCAAGTTCGCCACGGGAATGGAGGACCGCCTGCATGCCACGTTCAGGGAGCTGGATAGACGACACACTGGCATCGTGTCGAAGGAGGATATTCCGGAAGCCCTTAGAAGACTCGACATAAGGCCGAGAAAAGCGTACCAGGACGATCAGTTGGTCAGCCGCAGCGTAGGCAAGGCGCCTTCCCAGGGGTTTGGGTTCGAAGATTTGCGGACGTACCTCCTCTGGGCCAAGGATGCTGAGGAGGTGTTGGATTCGGGGTCACGTGCTCGAGCAGCCATCGACTTCGGTGGGGACTTGGATTGCAACTTGCCCCTCGCTTTGGAGACTCGTGCTGCCAGGCCCAATCTCCGCTTCCCTGAGCTGCAAACGATGAGAGATGTGCTGGCTGCATGCATCTCCGGTGCGGTGAGTCGAACCTTCGTCGCTCCCTTAGAGAGAGTAAAGATCTTGCAAACGGTGGACCCCAGTCTGGCAGTGCAGGACCCTCGGGTCCTATTGGATACCATCCGMGTCGCTGAGGGTGACAGAGGTGTATTCAGAGGGAATCTCCTCAACGTCCTTCGACTATTCCCAGCGAAGGCGGTGGAGGGAGCAGTGTACAGGGCGCTGGCAGATCGGTTCGACCCAAGGAAGACGCGAGCTGCTGTAGCGGGGTGGAAAGGGCAGCGTGAGGGAGGGACACCAGAGGAAAAGAGTCAAGAGTCACAGAAGAAGCAACATGAAGAAGCTCTCCTTCTGCCGGACTGGCAGCGGAACGTGATGGCAACGCTGGCATCGACCGCCGGGATCCTGACGTCACATCCCATCGACACACTGAGAGTTGCGACTCAAGTGCCCATCCGCGGCCTGGTGACCCCGGGGACAGCCACGGCCACGGTTGCTTCGAGTGTAGGAAGTGCGGGTGGTGTGGGCGGAGAGGTCGTCGAAGTAGTGGCTGGTGGAGGTGGGGTTGGAGGACTGGGTGGGAATGGACGGGGGGTGGTGCACACGGCACGAGCTATTTTGAAAAGGAGGGGTGCGAAGGGCTTTTATGCAGGCATAGGGCCGAACATCCTTCGAGCTATTCCTTACTTTTTCCTCACCGGGTAYGTGTTCACCTCTTTGGAGCGCTGGTACAGGAAGAAAGTCGGCCGTCCTGATGCGGAGCTTGGCCCCATTCCCGTTGTTCTGGTCGCCACGGCCGCCGCCCTGTGCGCACAGACTGCTCTGTATCCCTTGGAGACTGTGCAGCGACGCCTGCAGGTTCAGGCAGCCATGGGCCCAGCAGCAGGGCGGCTGGCGTACTCGGGCATGATGGACGCATTTAGGGATATAATCAGCAGAGAGGGAGCTGGAGCGCTGTACTCTGGATTGGCCGCCAACAACATCAAGCTCCTCCCAGCTGCCGCTGTTTCGTATGCCATCCACAACACTGCCCGGAATCTTTGCGACGCCTACTAGGACCTGGAATGCGCCTCTAGTGAAATTAGTGGTTATTTACGATCTTACAGGATGCATCTGACCTTCATGACAGACGGATTCGGAAATGTTCTACATAGTAGCACCAGCGCTTGTTTTTGATTGATGATTGGAAGCCATTGCGGTCATACGGTCCGGAATTGGAAAAGATGAGCATGTTTGGGGCCTTACAACATGGGATGAACTGGTAGAGAGAAGTTTTACATGACTGTTTCCAAGGTTTGCAGCTCTTAGGTTGGAAGTGGACTTGGTGGAGATGTGAATCCATCAGTGTATCATTCCAGAATCTCGCCTACGTGCACAAAGGAGGATCATGTTGAGGACTCTGTACTACTACAGTGACACAGTGCTGCTATTGAGATAGAAGAAGGAATAAGGTAGAGGCTAGGTAAACTTTTGCCCTGAGGACGGGGGACACATTGATTGAAAGTAAAACAGAGGACGTGACCTCTGTTGATAGATGCGGGCACTGAGGGGAAGAGGGACAGATATGTGTAATCGGGGTTTGGAAATCATTTGCTGGGGAAGGGACAACCAGGACAAAGATTTGTGATTGGGTAATAAATAGTGAGTGATGTTGAAGCTTTGGGAGGAGATTGGGATAGGGAATTTGGTGATATTGAGAGAGAGGGAGACCAGAGAGGGTGGAGTAATTTGGAGGGACAGGGAGGGAGGTCAGACTGTTCTTCGGGCATTCCACAGACACATGGGCAGGAGTGTTGGATGTTGAACTTTTTAACGAGTGCAATGTGAAGGTGGGCAGGAGTGTTGGATGTTGTACTTTTTAACGAGTGCAATGTGAAGGATACTCTCGAATATGTTTGTCTGCACGTCTCCCTCTCGTTCTCATATCGGTAGGTGTGTGATCATGTATGCACAGAGTGTGGTGTAAGTACTCAGGAGGGTGTAAGGAGGGCATAAGGGGAGGGATCTGGAGAGAAGAATGTTATGGTGAGCGAGAGGATCGGGTTTAAAGAACTTCTCAGGACAAAAGTTGGGACACACATCCGTCACACACGCACATGCAGCCTCCGGCCCCCCTCCCCCCGCCCTCTCTCTCTC